GCTGGTACAATATGAGTAAATCTGTACAAGATTCGATGGTTTTGATCATGATCAGAGCTCAAAGACCTTTGGTGATCACAATAGGACCTTTTGGTCCTATGACCATAGATACAGCAATAACAGTAATAGGAAATTTTGCTTAAAAATTAATTTTATGTTCCTTAGAATAATTAAGCATATATTATAATTTTTTCGGGTCCAAAGCGGTTACAGTAACCAAAAATGTATTAAATTATATAAATATTTCATAACATTCAAAAAAATTTGATATTAAAAAAGTCAATTTTTGTTTTTAGATAATGAAGGCTGCATATTCTTATGTGACATTAACACTGAACATGTACAAGAAATAAGAAATTGCTGGTAGTTGTATACAGGATGTTCGAATTACATGGGATCAAAACACAAAAGCACTAGATTAATCAAATATTAAAGATACCACAAGACTTCAAAAACGTTCTATTATGAATACGTTTATGTCGCTTATTTTATATTTCTTAGGTCTTGAAAGTGGCACATTCTTATGGTACTATTGTAATAATGATATACTTCTATATTTATTATAGGATTTGCAAATATAATGGATCAAAACACAAATTTGCTAGATTTATCAAGTATTAAAGACTTGTTAAAGTTAAATCCACAAGACATGAAAAATGTTCTATTATGTATACGTTTGTGTACAGCTTATTTTATAGTTTCTTCCTTCTTCTTTGTCTATTCCTTTCTTCGCCATTACTCCCTATCTAGCCAGATGTAGTCTTTGAACTCTCGTTCTTTTAGCATTAGGGTAAAACTTTATACCCTCAAAACTTCATTCGAATCGCTAAAAGTACTTGAAAGAAAATTATAATAAATTGAAAAAATATTAAGACTATAACCCCCTGTAGCAACGAAACAAAGCAGAATCGGACCTATCTTGATATGAAAAATAAATCTTCATTTTACGTGAGGAATCTTCCCACGAGAGATGGCACATGTTTTTTGAAGCACCCTGTATGAAAAACAAAATTGTTTCGAAAATTATTTGATATAATTGTCAGTCAGTATATATCGACGCAATTCTTCAGGTTTCAACATTTCAACTAGTTCAATATAATCTAGCCAAAAATATCCTTTACGATAATAAAATATTAGTTATTTTTTATACAAGACGATAAGTAAATAATTACCAACAGATATTCAGGCTGAGGCGACAAACGCCATATCCTACCTACTTCCATTTAAATCCCGAATAACTTATGAAAAAGAGTACAAAAATTTTCAAAAATCAAAGCAATTAAAAAACGTGCGAGAAGAAATAAAGTTTTTAACCTATCCTCGCTGTTAAAGTATCATTTAATCTACCCTTGCGGTTAAAGTACTATTTTATCTACTATTTTTGATAGATATAAGGCAATTTTAACAGTTGCTATGGAAAAAATTATTAAATATTATTTTATTTAAGTTTAATTTCAATTAAAAATAAAACGTACGTATTTCAATATTAGCCTGTAATTATCCTGGTCTTTTTAAATATTTTTTATTCATCTGTGTAATTAATATTTCAATTTTTAATTATATACAACCGAAAAAATGCCATTTAAAAAATATTTTTAATTATACACTAATAAAATAGTTTGATCTTTATTTTAATTTTTATAGTAAACAAAAGGTAGCTTCAGAAAGCTGTTGTTAATCACAAATAAGTCCTTGAATAGGATTACGAAAATACGCTAGTAAATTAAAATGAACGACAATAAACAGTTTGTTAAAGTAACCAAATGGCACATGGTAGCTATGGGTTTCTGGAAGTTTGAGCTAAAAGCGTCATCATCTTTGCCACCTTATTATACATTTTACCAAGCATACAAAAAAATATTACCCAGCTATTTCTTCATTTACCTTCTGTGTTTGATCATTAAGGCGATAGAGATATTCAGAACAGATTCCGTGGCGAAAATCAGTATCGCCGTAGCATACATGATCACCACAGGAGACCTTATTATTAAATCACTGATATTTCACAAGAAAAACATTCCTGATCTATTCACACTGGTGAAAAAAATGGAAGAAGACGTTTGGCAATGCGAAAACGAAGAAATCAAGAACCACTATAAACAGCAAGCATATATATGCAAGATGTATTGCTTATTTTCTTCTGTTTCAGCTGTGTGCGCTGTTATTTTTGCTTTGGTGTTAAAGCAAGTTCAGATAGCTACGAAACAAATTCCAACTGACGATTTTATCATACGCTTGTGGCTGCCTTTTGACCAATCTAAACATCTAGTTTTCAGTTGGGGCTTTCAGATCTTTCAGTGCTGCCTCGTTAGCGCCCTGTTAATTACGGTAAAAATTACCATGGTCACTCTGATCAGTTTTGTTCACACGCATTTTCGGATACTTCAAATTAATATTGAAAAAATTGGAATAGATAAGCGGGAACAAGTAGATATAAAAGGAATTGTACAACAACATGAGTATTTGATTAGGTACATGCTTAAATATATTACCTATTTATTTTAATCATGATTTGTAGTCATTTTTTATTGTAAGTATGAATAGAAATAGAGACAAGATCAAGAACAAGACACTCTTGGTGTTGTTCTTGCAGTGCCCAGTCTTGGTTTGTTTCACTTTGTACTTGTTGTGTTGTGCCGGGCACAGACTACTCGTGTACTTGTCAAGTACCTACACCAATATTTGCGTATTTGGCAAGTATACCAACTTTTTATACAGGGTTGTTCACCACATACGACACGGAGTATTGTAGCTAAACGATTAAATTTTTACAAATTGTAAGTTTTGGGTTCGTTGAAGGACTATTAGAGCTACAATTTAAAAATATTTTTACAAGATACAGAGTGTCCCAAATAAATAAAAAATTTCAAAGTTGTATTTTCTTAAATTGAACACCCTGTATATTTTTACATTTTTAGTTTCTGCGATTAAAATAAAGATAAATTTGATAAAGGTTTATTACACTTAAACCTTACCGTTTTTGAAATATTTTCAATTTTGTGAAGTTGCAGTCAATATTTTAAGGCTTCATTTCTCCCAGGGTATCAAAGTTTTTAATACTAAATATTTACTGAAGTTTATTTATTGATCAGTTATTGTGCTGCAATAATAAAAATTATACTACCTTATACAGAGTTAAATAATTAATATCTTTAAACGGCAATAACTTGTTTAATTTAAATGGAATACCCTGTATATGTTATGAGAATCAGATGCACAATTTAATTGTCTATCATCTTCTATTATACCATTTTTTACCTATCTCTTCAAGTTTCCGTAGAAAATGCAGTTTCTTGTAATTTAAAACTCATTTATTAAGACCCATGGAATACTGACATTTTAGATTATTTTTAAAGATGTACCAAATTTTTAAAGAGTACAGATACTAATATTGTCGATATAGTTTGTTTATTTCATTAAAAATTAAAAAGAAACTGTTTAAATATTTGGTAAAGAGGACCAATTAATACGATTCCAGTATTCAAACTACATTAATTGACTGTTGATTAATAATAATTACTCCAAATACTAAAAAACAGAATTTTGTATGTGTTTTAGACAGTGTGGTAAAAAGTAACACCTTAAAAATGACATTTCATTTTTTGACAAATGTTTATTTATAACAACAGAGACATTCATTTTCATAACTTATTATTATATTGATTTCTGAAATCCACATTTACTTAGAATAATCTATTAACGAACATAATTAAGTATGTAATTAATTAGTATTTGGGCGGAAATAATGGTGGTATATTTAATTAATCGTATACTCTTTTATAAAGATTTAAATAGTTTTATTTTTGCATACAAATGGGCTAGTAATATTATCATTTTGCTAAAAAAGTTAATATTACTAGCCTGTACATTTGTACCTTTGTTGCTGTAAAAACAATCTAAAATGTCAATATTCCATGGGTATATTGATAAATGAGGTCTAAATTATAAGAAAATGCATTTTATACGAAAACTTGAAGGGGTAGGTAAAAAGTGGCGTAATACAATTTGATAGAAAATTAAATTGTGCATCTGATTCTCCTAAAATATACAGGGCGTTCTATTTAAATTAAACAAGTTATTGGCGTTTAAAGCTAGAAATAATATAAAATACATTTTTAGACACTCTGTATGAGGTAGTATTATTTTTATTATTGCAACCCAATAACTGATCAATAAATAGACTTCAGTAAATATTTAGTATTAGAAACTTTGATACCCTTGGAGAAATGAAGTCTTAAAATTTTGACTGCATATTCACAAAATTGAAAATATTTCAAAAACGGTAAGGTTTAAGTATGATAAACCCTAATCAAATTTACCTTTATTTTAATCGTAGAAACTAAAAATGTAATAATATACAGGGCATTCCATTTAAAAAAATACAACTTTGGTATTTTTTAATTATTTGGGACACTCTGTATCTAAAAATATTTTTAAATTGTAGCTCTAATAGTCCTGCAACGAACCCAAAACTTACAATTTGTAAAAATCTAATCGTTTAGCTACAATACTCCGTGTGGTATGTGGTGAACAACTCTGTATAGCTCTGTCAAGCTTGGCGCTCACACGACCTGTTTAGAAGAACTTTATAATCCTTGGATAATTAAACAGTATAGTGTCAATAACAGGTAAAATTATTTTGGTATTCGTTTGAGTGTCTCGACAAGTATAGACAAATCTACACTTGGAAAGAAACTTCGCAAGTATATGCCAATACCAAGTGTTTGCCAAGTACATGAGTCGTCTGAGCCTGACTTTACAATATGTAAGGCTATTTTTATGAGATATAATAATAGTATTAATATATATTTTTCCGTTTTTAGCCTAGGACACAAAGTAAATGAATCTATAAAGCATATATTATTGCTAGAGAACCTTCTGAACGCTTTGAATATTGCTGCAGTTATTATCAAAGTGATAACGGTAATAAAGAACAATGTTTACAAAAACTTTTATAACAATCGATTTTATTCTTCAGGAAAATTTTACAGCTGATACCTCATACGTAGTATATTATGGAGTATTTATCATCGTGCAGATGTTTGTACTTGGCTGGTCTACAAATGAAGTTAAGGAACAGGTATGCAATGAGTAAAAAACGAAAAAAAAAATCTCAGAATTTACAACCGAGAAAAATCAAATATTTTCCTTGGTTTAAGTGAGGTACAATCTTGGGATTGTCACGGGGTTTTTAACAGAACCCTGTCTTCTCAATGAACACCTCAGTAGATTAAAATTAAGATAAATAACTGTCTAAATTAAAATATTCTTTTAGAAAGTTATATAACAAATTTTTGTTTTAGAGTATAGGAATTTCGGATGCAATCAGTAAAAGTTGCTGGTACAACATGAATAAATCTGTACAAGAATCTATGGTTCTGATCATGATGAGAGCTCAAAGACCTTTGGTGATCACAATAGGACCTTTTGGCCCTATGAGCATTGATACAGCAATAACGGTAATAGGATTTTTTTATTATTAGTTACTGTTCTTTAAAATAATTAAAAAAATGCATAACATATACGAGAACTTTAAGAAAAATTAAAATTTTAAAATTAGAATTTAAAACTGTACTTATAGTAGCTAAAAATGGATTAAATTAAACACACCGAAAAAATCTAGGGATATTACAATTTTATTAAGCCATCGTCAGTAATTTTATTTTTTGCATTTCTGTTGTAATAAAATTAAAATAAACAAATGGTTTAGAGGACGTTTTGGAAAAAAAAACGAAATTTACAGAAATTTTCAAATTTACCTTGATTTTTATTGAACTCAAATAAATACACAATTTTTTTTTATTCTAAACTGTGAATTAAAAAAAAAGATGAAACCATTTTTACTTAATAAAGGGTATGGCCTCCTCTATTATTCATTACAGCCCTACATCGTCTCTCCATGCTCCTGATCAGGTTGTCTTCTTGAGGTACAGCCTGCCACGCTGCATTCACGGCCCGAATCAGATCCCTACAAGTTTCACGAGGCATACCCATTCAAAATTCTTCTTTGTACCGCGTCCCATACGTGCTCGATGGGGTTGAGGTCAGTAGATTGTGCCGGTCAGGGTAAGATGTTTAATTGATGAGCATTGATAAACTCACTTACCACTCTGGCTGTATGAGGCTATGCATTGTCATGCATGAGAATGAAGTTTCTCCCAAAATCATTGGCATATGGTAACACGACAGGCTCAAGAATTAAATCACGGTATGTGATTCCTGTTAGAAACCTTTCAAGAAAAACGAGATTGGGTTTTCGGCCTAACTGGACTCCTCCCCAGACCATAATTGTTCCACCTTGATAAGGGTGCACTTCCTGAACATGATCAAACCGAATAAGATTTCCGGATTCTCTCCATACCCTAAGCCTTCTCGAATCCGGATGAATTCCAAAGCGTAAGTCATCCGTGGAGAGAACTGATAAGAATGATACTCTATGTTATTATTACTCTATACTATATGTATTCTGTGGCTAATCAGCTGATATATAATTTAGAGGTTATGAGAATAATTAAGTCTTGTTTAGAAAATTATGCGCATTTATAATGTAAAAGGTTTTTCTGTCAAGTTGATCAATATAAAGTTTTTCCTAAACTATAGCGTCTATTTTCCACAAAAGATCCCACAAACCTCAACAGGTTATGGGCCCAGATGTTTAAGATAAATAGTTGGAAAAAGTAAGAAAAAGTTCCGCTGCAGTCAGCTAAAGAAAATTGAAGTTCAAGTTAAGGTCAACTGACAGTAAAATGGGCTCACTAGCTGTACCGATTTTAGAAGCCAATAATTTTAACAACTGGTTGTTTAGAATAAAGATGATATGTAGAAAAGAAGGATGTGTAGAAGCACTTGAGAATGACCCACCTGAAACGACAGAATCAGCTACAGTAAAGGCTAATTTTCAAAAGGAAGATGCCAAAGCACAGGCAATTATTGTCACAGGGTTATCAGATAAACACCTTGATATTGTGAAAGATTGCGAGACTGCAAAGACACAGATTGAAGCTTTGAAGAGTGTGTTTACAAGAACAACTTCTTTGACTAAATTAGCAGTTTGGCGCAGATTAATTAATCTGAAAAATGAACAGTGTGAAAACATGGAAGATTTATTTTTAAAATTTGACACCATTGTACGGGACCTTAAAGAACACAAGACAGTATTGAATGACAGCGACAAGGTATGCCATTTACTATTATCTTTGCCTGAAAGGTATAACTCAGTAGTTACAGCTTTAGAAACTATAGAAAATGTAAAGTTTGATTTTGTTAAGTCACGACTTTTAGATGAAGAACTGAAAATAAAAGCGAAATCTGAAGATTTAAGTAGTTTTAAAGCCTCAGCAGGTTGCTTCAGATGTGGAAGCCAATCACATTGGCAATCATCATGTCCTAAAAATAAAGACAGAGGTGAATCATGGCGTGGTAGAGGTGTTTATATTAGAGGATATAATAGAAGAGCGAGAAGTGGAAGATCATATAGAGGTGGTGGTCGCAACTACAGGCAAAATGAGAGAGAAGACAGGCAAGCACATATGACAGAGGAAACAGAAGGTGAAGTACAACTTTATGCAGCAAACCTATGTTTAGAAACAGATGGTAAAATAACAATGGTTCTTGATTCCGGTGCTAGTAACCACTTTTTAAAGGAAGAACTCGAGAAATATATGGTAAATATCAGAAAACTAGATAGACCAGTAATAATACATATTGCAAATGGTGAAAAGTTGCAAGCGAACAAAATTGGAACATTGAAGACACAATGTCAAAGGCAGAAAATATCGATTGAAGCATTAATTGTTAAAAACTTAAAACATAATTTATTATCAGCGTCAAAATTGACATCAAAAGGGTACACTATAGTAGTAGAAAGAGATAAAACAACAATAAAAGGAGAAAGTTTTTCTTTGAAATGTGAAATGAAGAATGGGTTGTACCTGCTACAATTAGATGAGGTAAAAGATCAAGAACAGTGTAATGTCACAGTACAAGAGCAAGGATTGTGGCATAGACGTCTTGGACATCCAGGAAATGATGCGTTAATACAGCTTGGGTTACCAACTGAAAAGAAAATATGCTCTACATGTATGGAAGCAAAAGGGGTAAGGTGTTCTTTTAAAAACAGTGTAAAAAGGACAACAAAAATAGGAGAACTAATCCATACAGACATATGTGGTCCTTTTAATCCAACTGCATATGATGGTTCCAGATATTTTCAGACAATCATTGATGATTACTCACATTTTACCATAGTAAAGACACTGAAGACTAAGAATGAAGCTGAACAGAACATTAAAAACTTTATTGAGGAAGTTGAGACACAAAAAGAAGTAAAAGTTAAAGCTATAAGAGCAGATAATGGAGGTGAATTTGTATCGAATACTTTTAAGGTATTTTGCATGAACAAAGGAATAGCTTTGGAATATACTATGCCCCATACACCACAAGAAAATGGAACAGCTGAACGAATGAATCGGACTTTATTAGACAAGATTAGAACAAAAATCATAGAATCAGCAATACCTAAAACACTCTGGTGTGAAGCTCTAAAATGCTCTGTTTATGAGCTAAACAGACTCCCTACAAAAGCATTACAAAGAGGAATGACACCTTCTCAAATCTGGAATAATAGGAATGATCTAAGCAAACTCAGAGTTTTTGGGTGCAGATCCTGGTATACCAAATTACCAAAAGGTAACAAACTGGATCCTAGAGCAAAGACAGTGGTAATGGTAGGCTATTGCGGTGGTGGATACAATTTATGGTCACCAGATGAACAGAGACTAATAAAATCCAGAGATGTTAGATTTGATGAATCAGTAATGGAATTTAAAGAAAGAAATAATAATAAAAAGCAAGAAACAAACCAGAAAACTATTAGTTTTTCAGAACAAGATAAAGAAAATGAAAATTTACAAGAAAATGACCAGAACATTGACCCAAATGAGACTTTATCAAACAGTTCAGGAGATGAATTTCAAGATTCAGGAAATGAACCTAACAATGAAATAGAAGTGCCAGAAACAACAACTACCAGAACTGGAAGAACAACAAAAAGACCAGGCTATTTGACAGATTATGACATGCATGTTGCTTACTGTTTGCTTACAGCAACAAGTACAGAACCAAGAACGTTTCAAGAAGCCAATCTACAAGATGAATGGAAAGAATCTATACAGAAAGAATTAAGTTCACACATAAATCTAGAAACTTGGTTCAGTTGAGGTTCAGTTGCCGTTCAAAATGTTCAACGCTATGAAATGAACGCGCGCATTTATAAAGTCAGTTGGTCGAAAAGTTGGCAGTTCGTTTTACGTTCAGCGGAGTTCAAAGATGGTCAATGTTTATGTCGGCAGTTGCGGGCAGTTGGCGACCGCTGGCGACGTTCGGCGATAGCCAATGAATAAGCGCCTGTCGATCACGTGAAGCACAGTACGCCGATGCATTGGAAAATGACCGTTATTGTTGTTTCATTATTTCTGTTAATGTGATGTTTATATTTTGCGTAATCGTGGATTACTGTGTTTGAACTTTGACAAATACCAGAAGTATTTTTAAATCGAAAGAAAAACGTTCAAAATTTTTACAATTTCAAACCTAACCTACAACCGAAACTGACAGTTTATAAATGCAAAAATATTGAACCTCAACTGCCGCGAACATCCTACTGCAACTGAACTTCGACTGAACGCCAACTTCCGAGTTTATAAATCCAGCTTTAATCTATTGCGAACAGTGTCAGGACTAACGGTTACATTATGTGTTTCCTGGAGAACTAAACTAAGCTTTGGTGCTGTAAGAGTGGGTCGGCGTCGAGCATTTAAATTTAAAAAATGATCTTGCTTAGGGGTAGTAATGCGATGTCGTCCCATGTGCCTTTCAGCAACATCACCACTTTCACGGTAACGTGCACTTAATCGAGATATTACACTTTGCGTTGTATTCAATGCCCTAGCTACATCGATTTGACGCATTCAAGCTTCGAGCATACCCACGGCCCTTAGCATTTCGTCTCTGTTAAGAAGTCTACGCTCCATAAGGTTGTTTAATACTAAACTAAGTTATTTCAATGAACTCTGACCAGTTATCATAAAAACATAGCCAGTACAGGTTAAATTCGAACAATATTGATGCTAGGTGCTTTTTATACATTTGACAAAAAATGCACAAAAACTTCTGCAAATATGCGAAATTTAGAAATAACAACTGTGACTACTTCGTTTCAATCGAAGTAGAAAGAATCGTCCTTGAAATATGTGGTTGTTTATTCAAAACATTTATTTTTAATTTTAATAAAATTATATCCCTAGATTTTTCCGGTGTGTTTATATCGTATTTTTTCGATCATATTGTATAAATATTTCATAAAATTCAAAATTCTGATTTTTAAAAAGGCAATTTTTGCTTTTAGATCATGAAGGCTGCATATTCTTATGTGACTTTAACACTGAACATGTATAAGGAATAACAAATTGCTGGTAGTTGTATACAGGACGTTCAAATTACATGGGATCAAGTATTAAAGATACCATAAGACTTCAAAAATGTTCTATTATGAATTATTTTATGTAGCTCATTTTATATTTCTTAAGTCTTCAAACTGGCACATTCTTATGTTACACTTGCAATAATGATATACTTTATGATATGTTTATTATAGGTTTTGTTATGTTTATTATGTTTTGTTGACAAAAACCTATGTTATAATAAACTTTCTCATAGTTTAGTCTTTGTTTTATATTTTATAATTGTTTTGGGAATATATTTTATTCTATATAGCATAGGTTAAGTACAGGTAATTAAAAAAAAAACGAAAATACAATTAAAGCGTTTTAATACTTTATTTTTTATTCGATCATACACGTACTTAATGCAACTTAGATTGCAACCAATCGATGTAGTAATCAATCTTGGTAAAAAGCGTTCTCCTTTGAATATCACATTGCGGTATATCTGAAGTTCTAATTATTGGACCTATACTTACGATACCTTTAATAAAATTCCGGTTATTTTTGGGATTTTTGAACATTAATCCGCTGCCACTGTCTCCCCTACATATAGCGCTACCTAGAACCAAAATAATAACGATTTTAATATGATAATTATTATAGAAAAAATACCTACTTTTGTTAAATTGTCCAGAGCATATTTTGTCAGGCGTATGGAACTTTTTCGCGAAATCTTCTTCAAATTCTGATTCACATGTAGAGTAATCTTTGTAAACAGATTCCAGCTCTTTTAAAACATCTTTTCTTTCTTCATCTGGTTTAATAATATTCCAGCCTGAAACCTACAAATTGAACATCTTTAGTTATATTTGAAGGTTGTGCATATATTGTTTACTTCAATAGTATTTTATAATCGACTCAATGCCTTTTTTAAATCTTTTTTATACAGTTTTTTATTAGACTTACTACTCCTTTCATGTCTGGAACTAAGGTAAAGTCAAAATCCATGTAACAAATGGGTTGTACAAACTTTGACATTGCAAACGCAGTTTTAACTCTCACAATGGCGATATCGCCCAGGTAGTTTTGTAGTCCTGCCTTGTAATTTGGATGAATATCAAAATATTCAACCTGAAAATAAAACATAAAGAAGATTTTAGACCTACTAGAAGCTGTTTTTCGAGTGTAAGAGATAATATGTATATAATTATAAACATTAATTTTATTACTTCAGAGTACTGAGCAGTATCTGCATCTCTTGCATCTTGATATTGACGGTAGTACTTCCCTACAGCTACTATATAGTCATTTTTGTCGTTTGGTTGGCCACTGTAATCCGTAACACACGTGGCGGCTATAATATGGAAAATAAGATATTTAGAACAATTGGAACACCACAATAAAATGAAAGTATTTTTGATCTCAATTACCATATCTCTTTAGTAAACTTTTTTGTTCCTGAATTTTTTTAAGAGAAATATCATACAGTTACATCAGTGAGTGTAGTTCACAGGAGATTATATTAGTAAGGATATACCTGTAAGAATTATGTTTGGAGCTATCAAGGATCCTCCACAAATGTTTAAATACTCGTTTGTTGTCTTATTGTATTTTCTGTAAATAGCAGTCATCCAAGGATTATAACTTTCAGGTATTGCTCTACGTAGTATCAATGGTATACTCTGTTCAAACTTCATTCCACATACTAAAATGAAACCAATCACTATGAGACCAATCACACAATAAAATTACATTATTGTGGTTATTTGTGCACCAAGGGTTTAAATAATGATGTAGCTGCTGGCAAGCGAAACCTTGGGTTGGCGTTTACATGTATAGGAGTGAATCGCTGTGACAATCTAGTAAGTCGGTAAAAATAGGAAGTATTTATTACATAATCACTGAATCTGACGCTAGATTCTATGCGCTTGGGCAAATTCTTGCCTTCTGTCTTTATTCAGTACATCTTATGTTGCTAAGCGTGTTGACCGTATCCTTCGTACACACGAAAATCGGCACCCAAGACCAGAAATGCCAACCCTAGTATATTTCATATCAAATTAAACTCTTAGTAATCGAGGGCGCAATTGCGCGAACAATGAATGGACCTATTCGGCGCCGTGGTGAGTTGTTTTGACACTTTAGTTTTGTATTACTTTGGTTTTTGGTTTAAATAAATAGTGTTTTGATACTTTAAGCTTGAAAATGTTTACTGGCAGACCTTGCAGTCGAACATTGTTCTTTTTAGAACCTCTTTTAGTGCGAAGTGTACAATATACAGTACGGGTCAAAAGTGGAGAAACTTTTTAAATTTATTTGCTGCCGTTTTACAAGAACGAAAATGTTTATAAAGCATATATATTTATACATAGGATAACTGTCTCATAAAAATACAAACAAGATTTTTTTGGAAAAAGCCTTTATTAAATTTTGAAAAAAGTAAACTAATTTTTATGAGGACAAAAATGGAGAAACTGGTATTTTTTATACATTTGTAGTCGCTAGTCTCAGTATTTGGTTGCATAGCCTTTACTTTTGATGTCTGCTTGGCACCTTCTGGGCATAGACTCAATCAAGTTCTTTATTACGTCCCCTGATATTTCATTCCATTCAATTTGTCCTTGTTTTTACGCCTAACATCGACTTCTAGTTGATCCCATAGGTTCTCTATAGGGTTCAGGTCGGGGCTTTGAGCTGGCCATTTGATCACTTCAACTTGTTCCTCGGTTAAAAATTCCTTAATAAGTTTGGCAGTGTGTTTCGGGTCATTGCGCATAAATTTCCAGGTTAAAGGGAGAGAGGATTCAGCATAAGGTACCATTGTTTCTTGCAAAATATTTAAATACATATAACGATCCATAATTCCATCTATTTGAATAAGGGGCCCGACCCCATGCCCAGAAAAACAACCCCAAACGAGAACGTTCCCACCTCCGTGTTTTATGGTGGGTATGGCGTACTTGGGATTGAACCTCTCATGGGACGTCTCACCCACCTAATACCATCCGAACCAAATAGATTGTACTTCCTTTCGTCCGACCAGAGTACATTTTTCCACTGCTTGTAGGTCCAATTTGCATGTTCCAATGCAAACTGTAGTCGGGCCTGTCTATTTTTCTTAGAAATAAACGGCTTTCGGGCAGGTCTTCTGGCATTTAGTTGTGCCTGTTTCAGACGCCGTCTAATGGACCTAACAGATATTGAAATAAAGGGATATTCGTTCCTTATATCCTCCGCAGTGCAAAATGGATTTCTAAGTGAATATCACCGGCGTGAAGATAGCCACGGTTTTCCATCCACGGTTTCAGAAAAATCCCAACCATAATAAACATATGGCAACGACGCTTTTCGTCCGATTTCAGCCACATCCACGGTTTTCGGTGTCCAAACGCCCAATTTAAAATATATCTACAGCGACACTTTTCTGTTGTTTATTATTAATAAAGATTTAGAAGAATTATATAATAAGTTAATCGAAATGGTCGAGTTTATATTTATATAAAATGAACAATTATTTATGAGAGATATAGATTTAACTTTAAAAATCCTCTTAAAAATTTAAATTCTATCTAGTTCTTAGCAAAATTCGATACTAATTTATTAAAGGTTGTGCCACAGCGAAACCCTTTGGAAAAGATGTATAGGTGACTAGGGTACACTACTCTATACTCAAAACCATTTGCCTGTCTTTCGGGAAAGGGCCAGATTCAAAAAACCGATATTTTACATAAAATTAGACAGCAAAAAAATCGCCACCAATTTGTTAAGGGTTGTGCCACAACGAGGCCATCTGGAAACGATGTACAGATGACAAGGGTACACCACCCCGTATTCAAAATCATTTGCCGGTCCGTAGGAAAAGGGCCAAGTACAAAAAACCGCTGATTCTCCTAAAAATTAACAGAAAAAAAATTGTAGCTCATTTATTAAGGGTTGTGCCGCAACGAGACCATCTGGAAACGGTGTACAGATGACAAGGGTACACCACCCCATATTCAAAACCATTTGCCGGTCCGTAGGAAAAGGGCCAAGTTCAAAAAACCGCTGTTTCTCTTGAAAATTAACAGAAAAACAGCTCATTTATTAAGGGTTGTGCCGCAACGAGACCACCTGGAAACGATGTACAGATGACAAGGGTACACCACCCCGTATTCAAAACCATTTGCCGGTCCGTAGGAAAAGGGCCAAGTTCAAAAAACCGCTGTTTTTCTTGAAAATTAACAGAAAAAAAATTGTAGCTCATTTATTAAGGGTTGTGCCGCAACGAGACCACCTGGAAACGATGTACAGATGACAAGGGTACACCACCCCATATTCAAAACCATTTGCCGGTCCGTAGGGAAAACCCAGAATCAAAAACCGCTGTTTTTCTTGAAAATTAACAGAAAAAAAATTGTAGCTCATTTATTAAGGTTGTGCCGCAACGAGACCACCTGGAAACGATGTACAGATGACAAGGGTACACCACCCCATATTCAAAACCATTTGCCGGTCCGTAGGAAAAGGGCCAAATTCAAAAACCGCTATTTTTCTCTTGAAAATTAACAGAAAAAAAAATTGTTTTTGATTTTTTCTGTTAATTTTCAAGAGAAAAACAGCGGTTTGAACAACCCTTTCCTACGGACCGGCAAATGGTTTTGAATACGGGTGGTGTACCCTTGTCATCAATGTACATCAGTTTCCAGGTGGATCTCGTTGCGGCACAACCCTTAATAAATGAGCTACAATTTTTTTCTGTTGCCGCAACGAGAGCACCTGGAAACGATGTTCAGATGACAAGGTACACCACCCCGGATTCGGCAAACCATTTGCCGGTCCGTAGGTGGTGGGCCAAGTCATCTCAAAAAACCGTTGTTTTCTTGTTGCGGCACAGAAAAAAAATGAGCTACAATTTTTTTCTGGTTTTTCAAGAAAACAGCGGTTTTTGAACTTGGCCCTTTACACGGACCGGCAAATGGTTTTGAATACGGGTGGTGTACCCGTCATCTGTACATCGTTTCCAGGTGGACTCGTTGCGGCACAACCCTTAATAAATGAGCCGCAATTTTTTCTGTTAATTTTCAAGAAAAACAGCGGCTTTTTTGAACTTGGCCCTTTTCCTACGAGACCGGCAAATGGTTTTGAATGACAAGGGTGGTGTACCCTTGTCATCTGTACATCGTTTCCAGGTGGACTCGTTGCGGCACAACCCTTAATAAATGAGCTACAATTTTTTTCTGTTAATTTTAAGAGAAAAAGCGCGGCTTTTGAACAATTTTCAAGAAAAACAGCGGTTTTTGAACTTGGCCCTTTTCCTACGGACCGGCAAATGGTTTTGAATACGGGGTGGTGTACCCTTGTCATCTGTACATCGTTTCCAGGTGGTCTCGTTGCGGCACAACCCTTAATAAATGAGCTACAATTTTTTTCTGTTAATTTTCAAGAAAAACAGCGGTTTTTTGAACTTGGCCCTTTTCCTACGGACCGGCAAATGGTTTTGAATACGGGGTGGTGTACCCTTGTCATCTGTACATCGTTTCCAGGTGGTCTCGTTGCGGCACAACCCTTAATAAATGAGCTACAATTTTTTTTCTGTTAATTTTCAAGAAAAACAGCGGTTTTTTGAAACTGGGCCCTTTTCCTACGGACCGGCAAATGGTTTTGAATACGGGGTGGTGTACCCTTGTCATCTGTACATCGTTTCCAGGTGGTCTCGTTGCGGCACAACCCTTAATAAATGAGCTACAATTTTTTTTCTGTTAATTTTCAAGAAAAACAGCGGTTTTTTGAACTTGGCCCTTTTCCTACGGACCGGCAAATGGTTTTGAATACGGGGTGGTGTACCCTTGTCATCTGTACATCGTTTCCAGGTGGTCTCGTTGCGGCACAACCCTTAATAAATGAGCTACAATTTTTTTTCTGTTAATTTTCAAGAAAAACAGCGGTTTTTTGAACTTGGCCCTTTTCCTACGGACCGGCAAATGGTTTTGAATACGGGGTGGTGTACCCTTGTCATCTGTACATCGTTTCCAGGTAGACTCGTTGCGGCACAACCCTTAATAAATGAGCTACAATTTTTTTTCTGTTAATTTTCAAGAGAAACAGCGGTTTTTTGAACTTGGCCCTTTTCCTACGGACCGGCAAATGGTTTTCAATACGGGGTGGTGTACCCTTGTCATCTGTACATCGTTTCCAGGTGGTCTCGTTGCGGCACAACCCTTAATAAATGAGCTACTTTTTTCTGTTAATTTTCAAGAAAAACAGCGGTTTTTTGAACTTGGCCCTTTTCCTACGGACCGGCAAATGGTTTTGAATACGGGGTGGTGTACCCTTGTCATCTGTACATCGTTTCCAGGTGGACTCGTTGCGGCACAACCCTTAATAAATGAGCTACAATTTTTTTTCTGTTAATTTTCAAGAAAAACAGCGGTTTTTTGAACTTGGCCCTTTTCCTACGGACCGGCAAATGATTTTGAATACGGGGTGGTGTACCCTTGTCATCTGTACATCGTTTCCAGGTGGTCTCGTTGCGGCACAACCCTTAATAAATGAGCTACAATTTTTTTTTCTGTTAATTTTCAAGAAAAACAGCGGTTTTTTGAACTTGGCCCTTTTCCTACGGACCGGCAAATGGTTTTGAATACGGGGTGGTGTACCCTTGTCATCTGTACATCGTTTCCAGGTGGACTCGTTGCGGCACAACCCTTAATAAATGAGCTACAATTTTTTTTCTGTTAATTTTCAAGAAAAACAGCGGTTTTTGATTCTGGCCCTTTCCTACGGACCGGCAAATGGTTTTGAATACGGGTGGTGTACCCTTGTCATCTGTACATCGTTTCCAGGTGGTCTCGTTGCGGCACAACCCTTAATAAATGAGCTACAATTTTTTCTGTTAATTTTCAAGAGAAACAGCGGTTTTTGAACTTGGCCTTTTCCTACGGACCGGCAAATGGTTTTGAATACGGGGTGGTGTACCCTTATCATCTGTACATCGTTTCCAGGTGGTCTCGTTGCGGCACAACCCTTAATAAATGAGCTACAATTTTTTTTCTGTTTATTTTCAAGAGAAACAGCGGTTTTTTGAACTTGGCCCTTTTCGTACGGACCGGCAAATGATTTTGAATATGGGGTGGTATGCCCTTGTCATCTGTACATCGTTATATGAGCTACAAATTTTTTTCTGTTAATTTTCAAGAGAAACAGCGGTTTTTTGTACTTGGCCCTTTTCCTACGGACCGGCAAATGATTTTGAATACGGGGTGGTGTACCCTTGTCATCTGTACATCGTTTCCAGACGGTCTCGTTGCGGCACAACCCTTAATAAATGAGCTACAATTTTTTTTCTGTTAATTTTCAAGAGAAACAGCGGTTTTTTGAATTTGGCCCTTTTCCTACGGACCGGCAAATGGTTTTGAATACGGGGTGGTATACCCTTGTCATCTGTACATCGTTTCCAGATGGACTCGTTGCGGCACAACCCTTAATAAATGAGCTACAATTTTTTTTCTGTTAATTTTCAAGAGAAACAGCGGTTTTTTGAATTTGGCCCTTTTCCTACGGACCGGCAAATGATTTTGAATACGGGATGGTGTACCCTTGTCATCTGTACATCGTTTCCAGGTGGTCTCGTTGCATCACAACCCTTAATAAATGAGCTACAATTTTTTCTGTTAATTTTTTCAAGAAAAGCGGTTTGATTCTGGCCCTTTCCTACGGACCGGCAAATGGTTTTGAATATGGTGTGGTGTACCCTTGTCATCTGTACATCGTTTCCAGGTGGTCTCGTTGCGGCACAACCCTTAACAAATTGGCGGCGATTTTTTTTCTGTCTAATTTTAGGTAAAATGACAGTTTTTTGATTCTGGCCCTTTCCCTACGGACCGGCAAATGGTTTTGAATATGGGGTGGTATACCCTTGTCATCTGTACATCGTTTCCAGGTGGTCTCGTTGCGGCACAACCCTTAATAAATGAGCTACAATTTTTTTTCTGTTAATTTTCAAGAGAAACAGCGGTTTTTTGAACTTGGCCCTTTTCCTACGGACCGTCAAATGATTTTGAATACGGGGTGCTAGACCCTTGTCATCTGTACATCGTTTCCAGATGGTCTCGTTGCGGCACAACCCTTAATAAATGAGCTACAATTTTTTTTCTGTTAATTTTCAAGAAAAACAGCGGTTTTTTGATTCTGGCCCTTTCCTACGGACCGGCAAATGGTTTTGAATATGGAGTGGTATACCCTTGTCATCTGTACATCGTTTCCAGGTGGTCTCGTTGCGGTACAAACCTTAACAAAATGGCGGCGATTTTTTTTCTGTCTAATTTTAGGTAAAATGACAGTTTTTTGATTCTGGCCCTTTCCCTACGGACCGGCAAATGGTTTTGAATATGGGGTGGTATACCCTTGTCATCTGTACATCGTTTCCAGGTGGTCTCGTTGCGGCACAACCCTTAACAAATTGGCGGCGATTTTTTTTCTGTCTAATTTTAGGTAAAATGACAGTTTTTTGATTCTGGCCCTTTCCCTACGGACCGGCAAATGGTTTTGAATACGGGGTGGTGTACCCTTGTCATCTGTACATCGTTTCCAGGTGATCTCGTTGCGGCACAACCCTTAATAAAAAAGCTACAATTTTTTTTCTGTTAATTTTCAAGAGAAACAGCGGTTTTTTGAACTTGGCCCTTTTCCTACGGACCGGCAAATGATTTTGAATACGGGGTGATGTACCCTTGTCATCTGTACATCGTTTCCAGACGGTCTCGTTGGGGCACAACCCTTAATAAATGAGCTACAATTTTTTTTCTGTTAATTTTTAGGAGAATCAGCGGTTTTTTGTACTTGGCCCTTTTCCTACGGACCGGCAAATGATTTTGAATACGGGGTGGTATACCCTTGTCATCTGTAGATCGTTTCCAGGTGGTCGCGTTGCGGCACAACCCTTAACAAATTGGCGGCGATTTTTTTTCTGTCTAATTTTAGGTAAAATGACAGTTTTTTGATTCTGGCCCTTTCCCTACGGACCGGCAAATGGTTTTGAATACGGGGTGGTGTACCCTTGTCATCTGTACATCGTTTCCAGGTGGTCTCGTTGCGGCACAACCCTTAATAAATGAGCTACAATTTTTTTTCTGTTAATTTTCAGGAGAAACAGCGGTTTTTTGAACTTGGCCCTTTTCCTACGGACCGGCAAATGATTTTGAATACGGGGTGCTATACCCTTGTCATCTGTACATCGTTTCCAGATGGTCTCGTTGCGGTACAACCCTTAATAAATGAGCTACAATTTTTTTTCTGTTAATTTTCAAGAAAAACAGCGGTTTTTTGATTCTGGCCCTTTCCCTACGGACCGGCAAATGGTTTTGAATATGGGGTGGTGTACCCTTGTCATCTGTACATCGTTTCCAGGTGGTCTCGTTGCGGCACAACCCTTAATAAATGAGCTACAATTTTTTTTCTGTTAATTTTTAAGAAAAACAGCGGTTTTTTGATTCTGGCCCTTTCCCTACGGACCGGCAAATGGTTTTGAATACGGGGTGGTGTACCCTTGTCATCTGTACATCGTTTCCAGGTGATCTCGTTGCGGCACAACCCTTAATAAAAAAGCTACAATTTTTTTCTGTTAATTTTCAAGAGAAACAGCGGTTTTTTGAACTTGGCCCTTTTCCTACGGACCGGCAAATGATTTTGAATACGGGGTGATGTACCCTTGTCATCTGTACATCGTTTCCAGACGGTCTCGTTGGGGCACAACCCTTAATAAATGAGCTACAATTTTTTTTCTGTTAATTTTTAGGAGAATCAGCGGTTTTTTGTACTTGGCCCTTTTCCTACGGACCGGCAAATGATTTTGAATCCGGGGTGGTGTACCCTTGTCATCTGTACATCGTTTCCAGATGGCCTCGTTGTGGCACAACCCTTAACAAATTGGTGGCGATTTTTTTTGCTGTCTAATTTTATGTAAAATATCGGTTTTTTGAATCTGGCCCTTTCCCTAAAGACCGGCAAATGGTTTTGAGTATAGGGTAGTGTACCCTAGTCACCTATACATCTTTTCCAAAGGGTCTCGCTGTGGCACAACCTTTAATAAATTAGTGTCGAATTTTGCTAAGAACTAGATAGAATTTAAATTTTTAAGAGGATTTTTAAAGTTAAATCTATATCTCTCATAAATAATTGTTCATTATATATAAATATAAACTCGACCATTTCTATTAACTTATTATATAATTCTTCTAAATCTTTATTAATAATAAACAACAGAAAAGTGTCGCTGTAGATATATTTTAAATGAGGCGTTTCGACACCGAAAACCGTGGATGTGGCTGAAATCGGACGAAAAGCGTCGTTGCCATATGTTTACTATGGTTGGGATTTTTCTGAAACCGTGGATGGAAAACCGTGGCTATCTTCACGCCGGTGTGAATATCTTCTTGTTATTTTATCTGTCGCCAAAGTTGTTTTTTTGGGTCTTCCGGGCTTGGGTATACTGGCAGTTGTCCCACGACTTCTATACAAATTAATCTGTTTGCATACAACACTTTTATGTAAATTTATGTGTCTAGCAATATCAATTTGTTTAATTCCCGAATGATACTTCTCAATTATGATTTTTTTATTTGATCTGACAAATTTATCCCGCGCGGCATATTTTTAACGCTCTGTGAACCCAAAACCACGATCTAGACGCTTTAACAAGAGAATATCTCACAGAATGTTAAGAAGAAGATAAGGTTTCTCCACTTATGTCCGCTGGAATTTGTAAATCATTTTTTGCCTGCAAATATAAGCAGTTTTTATATGGCTATACAAAGCAGATTAAATGCGAAATATTTTCTTGATATCCTATTCTGCAGAGAGTAAACTGTATTTTCAGATAGTAAAAATATGAAAAGTTTCTCCACTTTTGGCCGGTACTGTAGCTAATAACCAAAAAAAAACTCATCGCAACTTTATTAGAATATTTTGAACGGAAAAGCGGTAGTAATGGCCCTTTATGTCCCTTAAGTGCTGTTAAGAAGGTGAGTTTTGTTGATGTAAATAATAAGTGTAGAAAATATATAAAACTGGGCAACGCTATGCCGGTCAAGCTTAATCACGTGACTAAAAGTTTATATTCAGTATGAATTGTAGTTAAGACCTATTAGGATATATTACCTGGTATGCACGTAGGCTTGCTATAATCCCAGTTTCCATCAACACATTTCCTAGAAAGAATAGTTCCTTCTGGTTCAAAATAAGGAGCACACGTGAATCTCAATACAGTACCGTCTGATGCTTTATCACAAGGTACCGGAACCCCTGATTTTTTGCATTTTAAATTGGTGGTGTTAGTACTGTACATAGGCGGACATAATTCTAGAATATAAAACACGTTTTATATTAAATATGTAGTAGTATTAACTACTTTGGTGTTACAACAGCAAAATAAAACACTACTTAGTACTTAATTCACCACAATACACCAAAGTGCGTTACTTTTGTCTAGGCGCGCGTTTTGCTCAGCAGAAGATTAAAACTCCTAAATATTTAATTATATCATCTCTATTTTTATATATACATACTTTGGCAACGTGGCATTTCAGGAAATGACCATTTTCCATCATTTAGACAAACTACTAGTTCCCTGTCTGCTTCTGAGCTGGATAGCTTGTAGGATGTATCACAAGAATAGCTAATTATAGTGTTTACATCTACGATTTCATTTTCTTTGATTGTTTTGTTTTGATTCAAGGGGATCCAACGACCGTTTTTAGGTTGAGATGGTGCCGTACATCTGAATAAAAAAAAATAATATACAGGCTATTCCATTAAAAAAAACATTTGGATCATACTTTATGAATGACAGATCTCATCATCTTCTGCTCTTAAAAATTCACCAAGGCATGTGTTGACATGAGTCAAAAAACAAAATACTCAAGAGATATGGTTCTGACCAAAAAAATGATGTTTTAAGACAATTTGCTCACGAAATTATTGCACAGGGTGTTTTAAAGATAGGGTAAAAATAACTTTTCGATTAACCCTGTATAATAAGTTAAATAGTAAAGTTTATAATAAACTGAGTTTACGAATTAAATTTGATATATTTATATACAGTTAAACTTACCCAGTTTTTGAGTTAGTTTTTCTCTTGATTCTTGCTTCATTTTGAGAATAGGTCAATCCATTTACGTTAATAGCTAAGGATAATCCACAAAAATACTCATCTAAAAATCAATAAATATTCAGAATAAGATTAAAAAAGAAAAATTAAATCTATGAGGAACTTACTAAATATTAGAAAAGATGATATCCAGTAAACTAGTGTCATAATAATATTTGCTATGATTAGTTATAGAATTATTTACCAAGTATAAAGCTAGATATCCGTTCTTAAAATAATGCTGCAAGAGAAGTACTCAAGGCCCATATTATGTTTTTATAGTTATTATAGCCGGTTATTTTGTTGAATATGCATAACTACATACATATTAGCAGGAAAACAGGATTCCGTAGAATCATTTTTACTGCAATTCTTTTAAAAATAAACAATGTTGTGGTTAATTAAAAAATATGTATTATATTTCCTCTAAAACAGTATTTTTTTCGATAATATAATTTTCATTTAACACGGGTAATTTGTTAATCTTTTTATCATTTTTTTTAATATTGTTAATTTAATTTTTGCTAACCATGTAAGCATCATCATCAGACGGTTAAATCTAGACTAAAATCTGAAAATTTTGAAAAAAAGGATTATACAGGGTCTTAAATAAGTGCAAATATTTTCAGGGCTGATAGAATTCGATAAGAGAAACATATTTTCTCTTTACCGTTTTAAAAATAAGTCCAAAATAACCGAGATCTATAGGGCGTTCCAGAAATAAGTGCAAGTATTTTAAGAGGTGGTAGATCTCGATAAAAGAAATATATTTTCTCTTTATCGTTTTTCAAATAAGTCCAAAATAACGGAGTTATTTTACAATGAAAATTTCACACAACTTTTCAACCAATAACATGCTTTAATGTTGACTAGTTACCATGGCAACTGAAAAAATTTCCGGAAATTTTTTCGAGGCGCCACGAAACTTTAGTGGAAATTTTTTGTAATTATTACTTTTCATCACAAAATTCAACAAACTGTTTCCATACACTTGATTTTGATTTTCGGGTGTTATCTGTCATAGGCGCAGGCGTGTTTCTGAAGTTGAACTATACTACCAGTTAAAATTCTTGCACTTATTTCTGGGACACCCTGTATTTTACTTTGAAAATTAAAAAAAAATAATTTTGCTCTTAAATATTGAGAACTGCTTGATCTTTTTTCGATTTTCTCTCTTTTAAATTTAATTTACTACCTATGCTGCAATATTATGTTTCTTAACTAAAAATTAAAAAAAAAAATTGTTTCAAAAAATTTTAAATTTTAATTTTTTTCCCTAAATAAAACCTCATAGACTTACTTCTTAAAGTAAGCACTTAATCAATTCTTTTTTATAATTTTCATTGTCTTTTATGTCCGTAATATTCTTTATAAATAAGTAAAAAAAAATTAAAATAAAGTCATATAGTTCTCGCACTACTTATAACGGCTTTTTTCTACATAAAATATATTATCTAATTTCCTTTAAACAAGACATCTAATAACATATCGTTTTAGAGTTCAATAATACCTGAATTATAAATAACTGTTGTTTAATTTTAACGTATAATTAGCCTTGAAAAAAATTGTTAATTGTCTAAATAAATCGATAACTTGCTTTTATTAGAATGTTATTACCTACTGTTTTAAATTTTGAATGAATGGCATGTCATAAAAAATGACAGATGTCAGTTTAAAAACAAATGGGGATAACACAATTTTAATCAAGATTATAGGAAAATAATGATTCTGATAGGTTTCTGGAAATTTGAGGATGATATTATATTAATTTGATATTTTACTTGATTGAAGAAGAAATAATAAATCCACTTGTTACATTTAAATGTTTAAAAACAAATGGGGATAACACAATTTTAATCAAGATTATAGGAAAATAATGATTCTGATAGGTTTCTGGAAATTTGAGGATGATATTATATTAATTTGATATTTTACTTGATTGAAGAAGAAATAATAAATCCACTTGTTACATTTAAATTAATTAATTTATTAATAAAGGACAAATATAATATAAATAATCAAATAGAACAAATATATTACAAAAATTTAATGGTTTTACACATCATTTTTTTTTGAAAATGATCATGAATATATCGAGTGCGTCTCAAAAGAGGCTCACCCCTATAACTTGTTTATTTTTTCACTTAAAAAATCGAGATTTGGTATGTTAGTATATGACCTAAATTAGGATTGATTGACGTATATTCATTTGTTTTTGGTCAGTTCCTGTTTCACCGGAAATGACTACAACTTTTGATTTTTAAATGGCATCCTCGGCATTTTTTTACTTTATTCAATAGAATATAACACTCTGAATAGAATGATATACCTATCATATGTCAAGTTTTGACATTTTCGCATATGGTTTATTTGAAATTATAACTTGCGGTTCGGAACAAAAATTTGACTCGAAACACCAAGTGTGTGGTATCAAATTATTCGTAAAAAATGCTTTTTCCAAATATGCTAATGAGCCACCCTCGTTTTATTTGAAAAAATTGAAATATGATTAAAAATACGATTTGAGCATTTTCTAACTGGCCAGGACAAGACACTAAAAACATTAGACGATAAAATTTATTTTTCCAAGGCTCCTTGATTAAGAATTAGTGTTTTTAACATAGCCATGGCACTCTAGATTGAATTGTAAAATACTATTTCTTATGAAGCCAGAATGTCAAAAATTTACATATTATATATGTCATTCTATTCAGAATGTATTTTTCTATGGAATAAAGTATCAAACTACTGAGTCATTTGAACATCAAAAGTTGTAGTCATTTCCGGTGAAACAGGAAGTGACAAAAAACAATTGAATACGTCAATCAATCCTAATTTATGTCATATACTAACATACCAAATCTCGTTTTTTAACTGAAAAAATAAAAAAGTTATAGGGGTGAGCCCCTTTTGAGACGCACCCGGTATATCTACGATTAATCTTTAAAATTTACTTGCAAATGTATCGAAAGCTGTTAGGGGAAAACGTGGTGTGCGTCAATATACAAATTCTGTATTTACAGATTCTACTGAAATTAAGTTTCAAGGTATATTAAATATACCATATTTAATTATATTTAATAATGACACGTTATTAAGTCAATAAACATGGGTTTATATGTATCTGATTTGAATTATTCTCAATAACAATAATCCCATAATAAATATGTATTTTGCATGTATAAAAATAAATAAAAATATATTAATACTAATTAATACATAATAAGAAGTTAAAATCAGATGTCCTAATACCAAAGCAGAAACTTTTGGACATAGGAGATGGAGAACCATTATCTGTAAAACCGTCTCAGGTACTGACCTTTGTCAACGTTCTGAGACTGTATGATAAGTTATAACTCAAGAAAAGAGGACACAATAAATCTACAAGGTCGAGGTAATTAACTCCCCCCTAATCTACAAAATACAATCGTTGATTGAATAAGAAGATGCGCTACCTTATGGGCGAAAAAAACCTGTCCGAGATGTAGTTGGCGTTACCGTCAGCCTGTCCGAGATTTTGTTTAGCTCTGCGGCGCTACGCACTGATAGTCGTTTACAGCGCAGCGGATAAAGAATACTTAGTACCGTAGCTCTGCTTTCACTCGACAGAGTGAGTGGTTACCGGAGACAGTGTTGCCAGAACTACTGATTAATCCGTAGATTTACGGATTTTGGTTACAGCAAGTTCAATAATAAGGATTTTCTATCATTAAACAATTTAATACAATATTATATGATTAAATTAAAAAAAAAGAAGAGGCTTCAATAATCGTCATTTCTAAGCCAACTAAACGACTTTTTTCGATCACACGACATATTCGTTACCTATAAAAAAATTATTTTTGTTGTTTATTCTATTCTAATTAAGACGAATAAATTTTCAATAAATAAACACGGATTTTTCATCCAAAGATATTTTTGTCAAACAATTTTGATCTCTACATATATTACACATGTTAATACGGCAATACTGTCGCTTTCAGATCCACACCGTCTTCGATATGTCTTTGCTGACCGAATTAGAGAAAATAAGTGTTTTATGCGTTGACCACAGAACGATTGGGGGGTGTCTGGTCCATTATACAGTACTTGAGACGTAAGGGGAAATCAAATTAGCCTTGTCATGAATTTACCCTTTAGGTTGCGTATCTTCCCAATTCTTTCATTCAACGCTACATACATTGGTATATAACCTCTATAAGCTAATTTGAACCCACTGTGTTGGTCATGAGAGTTGCATAGGAATAAGCAGCCTTTATTACCTGAAAAGGAAAACATTTACTGTAGATACAAACAAATTATAATAGAGATCTTACAAAATGACTGCTGCAATAAAACATACAAGAAAACAGCTGTTCTATAAAAATAGTATTAGAAATATTAGAATATCCACTTATAAAAGGTCTAAATATCTGAGGACATTGTCTTCTAATTCGTATAAAACTAAGAAAGATTTTTTTTGGTACTCTGGAACATTTTTTTGGTACTTTTTATTGCCATCCTGCTAATTTATTAATATTTTTACTCTAACACAATATGATCGAAAAAAAAAACGGCGTTAGAGATGGCTATGAAGTGTAGATGGTTGTCATTATATGTAAAATTATATGGGGAATGTCATCGATCGTAATTTCCAAGCCAACGGGACGCCGTTTTTTTTTCGATCATACGGTATAATATAATACCGCTATGGCTGAGTCCAAAGTCATCGGGCCAAATGGTCCAATTGTCATCATGGAAGGTCGCTGACTGGCTGCCATCATGATGATAATGGATTTTTTGGTTGACTGGTCCGTATTGTACCAACAGCTATTCCACAGAGCGTCATGAACAGCTTTACTCTATGGAAAAACAGTAATTAGTCTAAATAATGTTTACTCGTGAAACAACATGATTCTATCATAGTTTTAGGAAAAGAGTAGTTGCACTCTCGCAAATATTTTCTGCCAGTTTTTGCAAGCTGGCAGGTTGCAAAGCGTTTTCAGTTGAATTCGGTCCGTCGAGCTGTGAGGTTCGAGCGTTGCGTCCGAGCACAGGGACGGATTGACAAAAAATGACTGCCTTACTGTGCGCTGCTATTAATTGTGGAAATAATTCAAAAAATTATTGTTCTTTAAATCTTTTTAGATTTCCATCGGATGTAAATCGGCAAGCTGATAGTAATTATCAATTAACATTTAATTATATTTGTTTATTTTAGAAGCTCGGATGTTATGTAATTAATTAAATGTTATTATTTTTTTTAACATGTGGGCAGATTTTAAAAATAGTTTTTTAGATATACATGTTGTTTCAAATATGCGCATAAAAATATTTTTTGGTCAGGGGATTTTCCATAAAATTTTCATTCCAATATTAATTTACGAGATAATTTATATAAATTGGTTTTTGAAACAATTTTAGAGTAAATATTTTGTACATCTAAAGTCTCCGCAAATTATTCATATTTTTTAATTGAAAGAATTTTATAATAGCATAATCTCTTATAAATTTAGTGTATTTTTTTATGTTTTTTTTTATTTATTTTTTATTATAAGTGGTCGTAATATAACAATATTCAAAATAGTATAGACAAAATATTGAGTTTATATTTGAGGGAAGAAAAGTGCCACACCTAGCTTTAAACCACCGTAAATATACAGGGTGGCCAATTAGTGCGAGGAAGTCCAATATCGTCGTCGTTATCGAAGATGTGAAAAAAGTTTTATTCATATGTTTCAAGGTTTATAAAGGGGTGTATCCTAAAATATTTTGTTATATACAGGGTGTCACAAAAAAAGTTATGGTAAAGTTAGTTTGATTTTTTTTATTATTTTACATCATTCTATATGTTTAGTGGTCATTCAGTGTTTTTATTGTTTTCTGTTTTCCTATTTTTATGTGTAAAGTTACCTTTAGTTATTGTACGTGTGGGACGACCTTAAGATTGAGAGTCGTCTGTCAAAAAGGATGAAAGAAGATGGCGGAACAATAAAGTAGTCAGTAATACGTCCGCTGTTTTAATACAAGTTTTTAATTGCAATAGTAATACCTCTGAGTAATACTATCAACGAAGAAATAGTTCAATCTTCAACATATTTGGTCCTTCGAGCCGGATAGCTGGGTGAAATCTTCAATTATTTCAAAGATTCAAAGAAAATCCATACTTTTCCGATCAATTTCTATCGTTCAAGGTCGAAGCCGGACGAGTCCATTTGCGCAAGACGATCCAGAATAGGGGAGTTGCGTAGTAAAAGCGGTGCGAAGAGTGGACTGGTCCAACTGCATCGGAAAAGGGGAGGACACATCGACGAAAGCAGAAAAAAAATACGTTTTGAGAGCCGTGCCCGGGATTGGTAAAACGACGACGCAAATTGCCGGTGAGTCCGTTCCTATTTACCTTTATTATCCTTTTCTTTCAACGGGAAGATAGGTTTGCTCCAAGTTCTTATTAATAGGTTTTAATATCAAAATGCAAAACGAGGAGACAAGGGTTCTTTTAGGGAAACGTAGAGTTTTCAAACAACGACATACATTATTTGAAAAATATTTTAAAACCCTAAAGGAATCCTTTCAAGATACTTCGCCTACCGATCGTGAAAGGTTTAAGATTGCTGAATTAAAGTTACGTTTAGAAAAATATGAGAAATTAATACAAGAATACGAGATAGTTCAAACAGAGATAGAGATAAGTTCAGATGATTTAGATACACAAACGTTGGAAAGAGAAACTTTTGAGAAAAATTATTTTAGTTTATTAGTTGAGTGCAAGGAATTCTTAAGCATCTTTGACAAGGTAATTCCAAATTCTCATAGCGAATCGAGTAATTCAAGTAACTTTGATGTAGGCTCAAGTAACAATAATAAAAATGATTTCAATGTAAAATTACCAGAAATAAAATTACCGAAATTTACAGGTTGTTACGATAATTGGTTAGAATTTCGAGATACATTCGATTCACTTATCAATGAAAATTCAAGTATAACAAACATTCAAAAATTTCACTACCTGAGGGCAGCATTGGACGGCGGTGCCATGCAAGTTATTCGTTCTATAGAATTTTCGGCTGACAATTACCAGATAGCGTGGAATTCTTTACTTCAAAGGTATAATAACAATAGCGTTCTGGTAAACAATCATGTCAAAGCCATATTCGAAATGCCCACATTATCTAAAGAGTCAGCAAGTGACTTAAGAAAAATGTTAGATAGCCTCTCTAAGCATTTGTGCTCATTAAAAAACTTAAATCAACCGGTTGAGCACTGGGACACACTTCTTGTTTTTGTATTAAGTCATAAGTTAGACAAATCAACACTTCGAGCATGGGAGCAAGTTAAAGCAGCGACAACTCAGGGCAATTCGGATACGGTGACATTAAAAACATTCAAAGATTTTTTACGTTCAAGAGCCGATTTCTTAGAAACAGTTTTAATGACCAAAGAGGTCAAGATACAATCTCATTCATATCAAATTTCAACAAAGTTCAAAACTGAATGCATTTTTTGCAAGGGTTCAAATCATTATATACAAAATTGCAATGATTTTTTAAAGCTTTCAACTCAAGATCGTCTTAATCAGCTTAAGAATCGAAAATTATGCTTAAATTGTTTACGCGGTTTTCATACGATCAACAATTGCCTAGCAGGACATTGCAAAAAATGTACTCAAAAGCATAATACAATTCTTCATAACGACTTTCAAGTAAATTCAAGACCAGAGCGTCCAACAACTTCATCAAATAACGCATTTTCTGCAACTTCAAGCATTGCTTCGGATAATATTCTATTATCTACAGCACTAGTTCAAATTAAAAATTCAAAGGGATATTTTCAAACATGCAGAGTTTTATTAGATTCTGGGTCCCAATCCAATTTTATTACAGAAGATACATGTAAGAGATTAGGTCTAAAGACATTTCCAGTAAGTATTTCTGTTTCGGGTATCGTTCAAACTCCTTTTCAAATCAAACAGCGATGCAATATTACTGTAGTGTCCATGCATAACTCATTCAAAGCTGATATTTCATGTTTACTTCTACCTACAATTAATAAAGGTTTACCATTCCAGTCATTCGACCTTTCAAATTTAAATATTCCTTCCAATTTGAGGTTAGCTGATCCTGGTTTATCGGTTTCTTCAAAGATTGATATTCTAATTGGTGCTGAATGGTTCTACAATTTATTATGCATTGGTCAGTTCCGCTTAGGACCTAATTTACCTACGTTACAAAAAACTGTTCTAGGATGGGTAGTCTCTGGAAAATTATACAATGATCCTATTGCTGCGCAATCCATGTGCAATTTTAGTACAAGTTCAAACGACGAAATCTATTCTTTATTGAAAAGGTTCTGGGAAGTCGAAGAAACTGTTCCACCTGGTTCAAATGTGAAATTCTCCTCAGATGAACAGCTTTGCGAGGACATATTTTCTAAAACAACCGAGCGAAAAGACGACGGTAGATTTATTGTTCATATTCCCTTAAAATGCGATCCTATTATTCTAGGTGATTCTCGTGAAATTGCTACCAAAAGATTCTATTCTTTGGAGAAGAAATTGAATCGTGAACCAAAGTTAAAGGAAGAATATGCAGCATTTATGAACGAATATATTCAACTTGGTCATATGCGAGAAATATCTAAAATTGACGAACATTCTAATTCTGGTTTTCTGCCACATCATGCAGTTGTTAACGAAAATAATCAAACTACTAAGCTTAGGGTTGTGTTCGATGGCTCGGCACAAACTGATAATGGAATTTCTTTTAATAGTTTGCAGCTAGTTGGTCCTACCATTCAGGATAATCTTTTTTCCATTTTATTAAGATTCCGACAGGGGCCTATTGTCATCTGTGCGGATATTGTTAAAATGTATCGGCAGATAGAGATTCATAGATCACAAAAACATCTCCAAAATATTCTATGGCGTTTCGATTCTTCAGAGGAATTAAAAACTTTCGAATTACAAACAGTAACTTACGGTACTGCATCAGCTCCTTGGTTAGCTACAAGATGTTTAAAGCAATTGACCATAGATTATTCCAAAATATTCCCACAATCATCTCATTTCGTGGCATCCAATTTCTATATGGATGATTTGTTGATAAGTTGCAATTCAGAAAGTGAGGCGTTAACAATATGTGACGAAATTTCAAAAATACTTTCTTCAGGCTGTTTTCAACTTCAAAAATGGGCAACTAATAGTACCAAAATTCTTCAGCACATTCAAAATCCTTCTACTATTCTTAAAATTGGCAAGGATCAACGAACCAAGATTCTAGGTTTGTATTGGTCTTATGAAGACGATCAGCTAATGTACACTATTGCTGATTTTATCAGTTTAAATAAGTTTACCAAGCGTACTATAATGTCTGATATAGCTCAGATTTTTGATCCCTTGGGACTCTTGGGCCCATGTATCATTTTAGGAAAAATTCTTCTTCAATCACTTTGGTCCTTAAAGCTTGACTGGGATGAGTCTCTTCCAGCTACTATAGACAATCAATGGCGGCAATTACGGCAAGAACTACCAGTACTTAACATTTTAAAAATACCCAGATTTGTTTCAAATACGTCAATCGTTAAGTTGGAGTTACACGGGTTTGCCGATGCCTCTTTACAAGCATATGGCGCATGTCTATACATTCGTAGTATATCTTCCAGCGGAGAGATTCAGGTAAAGCTTTTGACAGCTAAAAGTAGGGTTAGTCCTCTAAAATCGTTAACAATTCCAAGATTAGAACTGTGCGGTGCTCTCTTGTTAGCACAGCTAGTTGATCGAGTGAAAAATTCAATGACTTTTACTTTTGATGATATATTTCTTTGGTGCGATTCCACTGTCTCTCTTGCCTGGATTCGTACTTCTCCAAGTACTTTGCAAGTTTTTGTTCAAACCAGAGTCGCTCAAATACAAAGGTTAACACAACCTAACCAATGGCATCATGTTCGAACCGCCGACAATCCTGCAGACTTTCTTTCCCGAGGTATTTTGCCTAGGGCTCTTTTGGATTGTACTATGTGGTGGAATGGCCCACAATGGCTTAGCCAACCTAAAGATCAATGGCCCTATTCTGCAGCTACTTTTGAAGGAGAACTCCCAGAAGTTAAGAAACAAAAAATAATTCTCGCAGCTTTTCAAACTTCAAATTGGATTAATATTAATAAATTTTCAAACTTAATGAAACTTCAACGGGTGGTCGCTTATTGTCTTAGATTCATATACAATTGTCGAAATCCCACTGACAAGCAATTTAAACCTTTCAAGGCAAAGGATTTATCTGATACTCTTAGATACCTTATTACGATATCTCAAAAGGATGATTTTGCAGAAGAAATTCAAACGTTGCAAAGGAGTCATGCGTTGCCAAGGCAATCTAAGCTTCTTTCTTTAAATCCTTTTCTAGACGATGAGGGTATTTTACGTGTTGGTGGACGTCTTAGTCAATCAAATTTTAGTTTTGATGTCAAACATCCAATACTTCTTTCGTCCAAGCACCATCTTACAAAATTGCTTTTTAGACACGAGCATCTAAGATTATTCCATGCTGGACAACAACAACTGCTTTATTCAATTCGTCAACGTTATTGGCCACTGGCTGGTCGCAATTTGGCTAAACAAATTGTTCATTCCTGCATAAAATGCTACCGCTGCAAACCACTGCAACCTTCTCCAATCATGGGTAATCTTCCAAAAGCGCGTGTTACTCCTGCTCCACCCTTTTATAATACTGGCATAGACTACGCAGGTCCAGTATATTTGAGTTCAAAAAAGGGAAGAGGAGCCAAGGTTTCTAAAGCGTATATTGCGCTATTTGTGTGCTTTGTGACCAAGGCCACTCATTTAGAATTGGTGAGTGACTTATCAAAGGATGCCTTCATTGCTGCCTTCCGGAGGTTTGTAGCACGCCGTGGTAAGCCAAGTAATGTTTATTCCGACAACGGAACAAATTTTGTAGGAGCCAATTCAGAGTTACGAGAATTATCTCAATTTTTAAAATCGCAAGAACATTCTTTACAAGATAGTATATCTAATATTGGCGTAAATTGGCACTTCATACCCGCATTCTCACCTCACTTCGGAGGAATTTGGGAAGCCGGTGTTAAGTCGGCTAAAAGACACTTGACTCGAATAATCGGTAGCGTAAAACTTACTTTTGAAGAGTATTGCACTATATTGGCAGAGGTTGAAGCAATCCTAAACTCTCGTCCAATCACTCCCATGTCCTCAGACCCCAATGACCTATCCGCTTTAACCCCTTCTCATTTCCTTATCGGACAACCGGCAACATCACTTCCCGATCCAGACCTTAGAGACATTTCAACGTCACGCCTTTCAAGATACCAGCTGATGCAGCAGTGCCAACAACATTTTTGGTCCCGCTGGACTCGTGAGTTTCTTAGCGAGCTTCAGTTACGCACCAAATGGAAAACTCAGCAAGCAGCACTTCAAGTTGGGTCTCTTGTTGTTCTCAGAGATGACCACTCTCATCCACTTCAATGGAAACTCGGTAGAATCGTCTTACTTCATCCAGGATCAGACGGCATCGCTCGAGTAGCTACTATCAAGACATCAAGTGGAACTGTGAAACGGAGTTTTGCTAAGTTTTTGTATTGCCGATTGAGGTTGAAAGCTGACTCTTTCAAGGCCGGGGCATGTTTAGTGGTCATTCAGTGTTTTTTATTGTTTTCTGTTTTCCTATTTTTATGTGTAAAGTTACCTTTAGTTATTGTACGTGTGGGACGACCTTTAAGATTGAGAGTCGTCTGTCAAAAAAAGGATGAAAGAAGATGGCGGAACAATAAAGTAGTCAGTAATACGTCCGCTGTTTTAATACAAGTTTTTAATTGCAATAGTAATACCTCTGAGTAATACTATCAACGAAGAAATAGTTCAATCTTCAACACTATATACATTATTCTATATTGGGTATTTTTTATGGCATCACCAAAATCGCAATATTTAAAATGGTATATCTCAAAACTTTTTTAAATGCGACATTCTGTATATTACTTTTCTGTCAGATGCAGAATTAAAAAGTGAACATTTTTTTTATTAATTTAAAGTGTTTCTAAATTTTTACCGCTGTCGCAGATATTCGCAGTATTATATTAAATATGGCTCTTTCAACAATAAATTTTTTTCAATGCCACCTAATATGATCTTTGTCTGTCTTGTCTTGTCAAAAAATGTTCACCTTTTAATTCTACATCTGAAAGAAAAATAATATACAAGGTGTTACATTTAAAAAAAATGAGATACAACATTTTTTAAATATTACGATTTTGGTGACGCCATAAAAAATATCCTGTATACGATAAAGTAAATTTTTCTACACGAATTTATTCCGATATCCTTCATGTTTAAGAAAACATAGCGAAGTATTAATAAAGTTATGTTCACTCTAGTTTTTTACCACTTTTCGTATAGAATGTTTTTAACCAAAGTTTTAGTAAATAAGAAATAGATTAGCAACACCGCAGTGTGCTTTAAATAAAGACAGTGTACTATAGCATAATTTTATGCCGAATCCAGTTATTTACAGAGAATTAAACTTGCTTTAAATAAAAAAAAAGTCGTAGAAAATCTCTGAAATAGATAATAATATAAAAATATGTCATTATATATTTTTTCCGCATTTCTTCCCATCAGAAGATTTTCAGATACAGAAGAATTGTTACCTACACGAAATGTGAAAATATTCTGTTTTCAAGCAAGTTTTTACTCGATGATCATTTTTTTTATTTTATTTTATTGTGAACTCATATTTACCTAAATACATATCTGTGAAACTATGGCGAGTGCCACGTCTATACTTTGCCTAGTTAATAAACCACGACTATACAGCTACGTCGTCGGCTACGGAGGCGAGAACAAGGTCATATAAAGTGGCAGAAAAAGAACAAAGGATTTGACAAGGAGTAAAACTACTAGTTTTCTTATACTATGATTCTATGTTCACCAATAAGCGAAAAAAAATAATTCTAACCAAAACTGGACGACCACACTGTACTATTATTTTAATAAATCAATTATAGAGCGTTATGCAATAGTGATGGGCATTACGATTCTTTATAGTGATTCGAATCACGCGTTCATTTCCTCATAATGCATTGACTCTCACGATTCGTTCAACCATGGACATATTCGGCGTCGGGCTGGCTAACTGGAATTTAAATTTCGCGCTGGGGATACAGGGTGGTTTGGTTAGGTTAGGTTGTAAAATGCTGTAAAAAATGTCAAGTTGCCGCATTTATTTATTTATTTCGTGACATTGTCATTCGTTTTGACACTTAGTTATGTATTACGAGTTTTTCGTTTAAATAAATAATAGTGTTGTGATACTTTAAGCTTAAAAATGTTTACTAGCAGACCTTGCAAAGATATTCTAAAAAGAACATTGTTCTTTTTAATAATGCCCTTTTATGTCTCTTAAGTGCTGTTAAGAAGGTGAGTTTTGTTGATATAAATAACTGTTTATATATTTATAATTTATTTATTTTTGTTTCCTAAATTATTTTGATTAAAAAAAATATTTAAAAGTGGGCAACGCTGTGCCGGTCAAGCTTAATCACGTGACATGCACGCGACTAAAAGTTTATTTGGTATGAACCATATCTATTTTTATTAGGAAATATCTTTCACATCGGTTGCATTTTGTAACCATGATGTTTGTTTAGAGGTTTTGTTCGAGTCCATTGATGCTTATTTAGAAAATGACACTCTGAATATCTACAATGACACTCATCAATCATCACTCTGAATCTATTTTTCTAAGGCTCCCTGATCTTCCCCTAGGAGATGCAAGACCTTGTCGTTGGTGGGGAAGCTCCTGGTCAGGTGCTGGGGGGAATTCCCCCTAGCACTTGGCTTGGTCTAAGAAGCATCTCAGTCATCGTCTTGTCCCTGACTGTAGTGTCGTGGCCAGGGAATTGCACCAAGACATATAACGATACCGGGCGGGGCTACGGACAGCCTCAACCTTGGGGCATCGGGGGGCACCCCATTTTATTTTACCCCTTACTTCTACATGCGGGGCTCTGTAGAAGTGGACCGACTGTCCCTAGCGACTCATGGGAACACTATGAGATCTGATAATAATAGTAATAAAAACATCACCGGTGAAGCTGTGGGGAAACCCCCTAGCGACACTGGGAACAGTAACAATGAAAGTTCCAAGGGGCCAAATTCAAAGAGAAGCTCCTCAACTGTGAAGGACACGGGTCTCCGTAGGAAGTCCTGGGACTGTATGATGAGTTATAACTCAAGAAAGGGGGACACAATAGATCTCTAAGGTCGCAGAGATTAACCCCCCTCCCACTTATTCTAAATTCTAATTCTAAGGCTCCCTGATTAAAAATTACTGTTTTAAACACAGCCATGGCGCGTGAGATTGACATTTAAAAACGATTTTATTTTAAGCGAAAACGTCAAAAGTTGACACGTGATATGTCATTCTATTCAGATTGTCATTTTCTATCGAATAAAGTAAAAAAAATACCATGGGTGAATGGGTGCCATTTAAAAATTACAAGTTGTAGTAATTTCCGGTGAAACAGGAAGTGACCGACAACAACTGAATACTTCAATCAATCCTAATTTATGTCATACACTGACATACCAAATCTCGTTTCATATTTGAAATATTAAAAAAAATTGAGGGGTGAGCCACTTTTGAGAAACACCCGGTATATTTATATCGTTATTATTACCTATATTATAAACGTTTCGCTATACCCAAGCACTTTTAGTATTTAAATCTAATATTCATTTTTTAAATGAACCGTATTGTAAGCAAATTTTTTACTTTTTTTACGATTAGTTCCTTCAAATTTTATGAATTCGTGCTGGCCGCGATTCAATACCGTATTGTAAGCAATGAGACTCACGATTCATTTTTAATATTGGTTCAAATGAACGACTCGTTAAATCTATGCCCATCTCTACTATGAATGAATCTACTGTATGGAATAATAACTGACTTTCTTCAGGATTTCAAGTTATTTCAACAATGTAATTTACCTGCTCTTTGACTTCATCGGCGGACCAAGCCAACATAAAAATTTGCGAGGTAAGCCCGCATGCGTAAAAGCCAAAAAACAATAATTCGCTCATTGATTGGCACTACAAAAAAATATCGTTTTACTTGTGATGTAAAGAGTGCGCTGTTTATTTTTAATTACCGGTAAAAGTTGAACTGTGATTCCACCAACATTGGCAGCGTTCAGAAAATATTCTAACAGCAAAATATACTTCACACAATCGTTCACATGTTTTCTCAACCTGTTAAAAGAAAACAAAATACTTTAAATTTTTGGACAATGATTAAATAATAGCAAAAAAAAAACACAATTTTTAATTTTTATTTTTATTTTGATTAAATTACAGAAGGTAAAAGCATTTCATGCATCCCAATAGGTTCTGAAGATCCGTCAAAAATACAGGTTCTATTTTAAAAAACTACAATTCTTGTGAAAAATATATACTTGAGTCACCTCAGTCACAGTTTTAGTTAATTTTAAATGAACAGGGTGGACCAAATTGGACGCTTTTAAAGGGAAACACCCTTTTTTATGTTAGATCATCAAAAACATGATCATCCAAACCAAACCAAATCAAACACATTTAAACTATATCTAATGGTCGACCGTCTACTGTTATGGACAGACGGGACCGTTTTTGAACATTCCTGGCCAGTGGCGGATACAGAGGGGGGGCACATGGGGCCCGGCCCCCCTCTAAAATCTATAAATTGGGTTAAATATTACGCTTTTTGGGTTAAAAATGGCGCCTTAAAAGGCATTTTCTACATTACTTTTTATTTGGCCCCCCCCTAAAATAAATTCCTGTGTGTCCGCCCCTGTTCCTGGCGGAATTCATTAACCCAGTAGGGGTGAAAAATACCCTCGTATAACCACTAAGTAATAAGAACCTTTATTCTTGCGTAAAGATAAAACTCCATAGGCACTAAGTCCGGCAGCCTCGACTGGAATCTTGGTTAGCAATTCAATTAATCTCGAAATTGGCTGCAAAAATTTGCTGATAATGTCAGCGTTTTGAGGTGGTGCGTCGTATTGCTGGAAAAATATGTTCTCGAGTTCCATTAGGGGCAGATCATCAATGGGGTCAAAGCCTAGTAGTAAACAGTGGCAAACTTTTAAAAATTCTGTATTTCGAAGCGGACCATAACGAAATATCAAGTGTGCTATATTTTTGGAAAGGCAATTTAAAGTTCTTTTCAGTTAATTAAAAATATACAGGGTGTCAGAAATAAAAAATCAATTTTTCTGTTGATAAAAAATTATACTTAAACCATTACATTCTACGTAAAAAGTTGCTTTGGAAATGTTTTCATAAAAATACAAACTTTTCCATGGCAAAGACTTACAGTGATTTGTTAAAAATGCATATTTTCGAAAAACACCCCGTAACTCTGAAACGGTAACAGATATCGATGTGCGGTTTTTACCAGCTTGTTTTTGATAAAAATTGAGCTCCATACCGATATTAGTTTTCGTCTCCTGTTTGTTTCCCTTTAAAAGTCTCCAATTTGACCCATCCTGTACACCTTTATTTTTTTTTCTACTGGTATAATTTAATGTAGCGACCAAATGCCAACATTTTCGAAGCGACTTCCACGTTTAATTTCAACGTTAACACTTTAAAAATTATTTAGAATCATAAAAAAGGTCCCCTTCTAAAAACACACGAATTTTGGTAGCTCGACCAACTATACCGGGTGAGTCTCAAAAGTGGCTCATCCCTATAACTTTTTTATTTTTTTAGTTAAAAAACGAGATTTGGTATGTTAGTACATGACTGATTGACGTATTCAATTGTTTTCGGTCACTTCCGGTTTCACCGGAAATGAC